TAATCATATATATATATATATATTACAATAATGTATGATCACGATACAATATTGTAATAGAAACAAAAAACTGAAAAGCTTTCTTAGAATCTCTGATAGGAAATGATGCAAAAGCACACCTGGGACAAAAAATTGAGTGTCCTGGCCCTGTGCATACTGCACTATAGCTCCACCCGCTGTCGCCGCATTGCTCATAGTTAACGTGTGAAGCCCCGGAACTCCCTCCCCTTGGGTCGCAATTTGTATAGTACCGGCAGGAATTACTGTAAAACAAATAATTTTGGAAATGTAAATATGTTCTAAAAAAAAAAAAAAGAAAAAAAATATCCTGCAACTAATGATAACAGTGTCGTGCATCGATAATGCACTGGAAATGATAATGCATTTGCGTCGAAAGAGACTTTAGATGCGTGATACATAATGATATAATGTTCCTCGTACAAGAAAAAATTATTTGAGTTTTTCGGCGCCTTTTTCTTTTTCGTCGAATGATCCGAATGATAAGTCTATATCGATATCCCATAAGCAAGAATGCCACACCAAGCGAGTATCGTGAAAAATGATATACAACGTTAGGCAGTACACACAGGGATGAAAGACAAATAATAAATGTGAATGAACCTTTCAAATTCTTTTTTTTTCTTGTCCTTCTTTCTCATTAAGTACTCCTCTAACATCATCTCCCTCGGTATAAAGAATACAAGAACTATGTATATGGACAGCCTATGGAATGTAATACAGCCAGGAAAGATACATAAAAGGAGATAAAGTAACCAACCTGTTTGATAATGGAGCGAATGGGAAGACACTTCACTGTCCACGTTAGAATCACACTCGGAGGATGATTCTAAGGGGGGCAAACGACCGTCTGTAACACCGAATCAACCCAAATCCCCATTAATTAGCTCGTAACCGGTGTCGCTAACGTGTGTGTGTGTGTGTGTGTGTGTGTGTGTGTGTGTGTGTGTGTGTGTGTGTATGTGTGCGCGTCATTTTATACAATATATCATTTTCGCTTTTTCTTTTTTTCTTTATCAAATTTATACCGTGTGTATCCTTATTGATAACATTGAATAAATATATTCTAAATTACTTGCAATTATCTGCACCCAGAAAGTACAATTGTATAGATAAATATGAAAAAAATGAAATTTCATCATGTAACTATGATTTGTTAAACTATTTCCTTTCTGGTTGCTGATTATACGACATATATTTATCATTGCGCTGCGTGCAGTCAGCTCATACAAAAAGGAAATAGAAAGTAGCTGAGAAACATTTATTGAGAATAAGCTCTTAAATGTTAAACGAAAAGATAACTAAATTCCAGATAGAAGTAATATGGAAATTAATTTTACATGAATGACTGATTGTTCCACATATAAAATAGAAGTCTATGAAATCTTTGTGAAAACGATCTCTTATATGAATATTAATATATTTGACAAAATTTTCTCTTCCACAAGTTAAATTATAATAAGAATGTATAGTGTATTAAAAATGGAAAAGGAGTGGATTTCATGCAATAGAATTTGTTCAAAAATTAATTCGTAATTAAAGATGTAAAGATTAGTGCCCGTTTTTATTTATGATAATTCTTAAGAGAAACGTAAAATTTTGTTATATACAATGTTTTTTTTCATCAAATATTTTTTTTCAACATTTATTTTTAATATGGCTGTCAATTGCACTTACCTTCTAATACATCCTGTATATATGAGGATTAATCAAATTAATATAAACGTCGATAATTACAATAATAATGTATGCTCCATAATATATCACGGTGGACATGAGTGTGTATTCACTGATAAATCGTTGAAAAATTATTTTTTTTCGAATACACACGTGGGCAATTACATTTATCACTTAACTTTACTATTCCAAATAAATTTCTTTTTCAATATAATATTAAGGTAATGGAATCAGAAAGGAACGATCTGCGCAAATCCTCTCCCAAAATTTCTTCCTAATTTTAATAATCTCCTATCTCTGCTTTTAAAATTAATTTACAATCACATTGCTGTACAGTATTATACGAGCTTGGTATGGCATACTTCTCTTATATATCCGAACGTAAACTGTATAGTATTGTATGTAAAAACGTAATACAAGTCTCATTTCATCATGCGCTAAAACTCATTATGTCTTAAAAGAGCTTATATTACTTATTTATGGTTGAAACCAGAAAAGCTTGGAAAGCTTCAGCGCAATAAATATTCATTATACCGTACCTGGTAATATATTTGAGGGACAAAATTAGGTAATATATTATTAAAAAGAGAAAAAAGGACATTCACATTAATTTAGTAGTACTAAAATAAAGATGATCTTATTAGTTCAAATTCTTTATACAACTTAAATATGCAAATTACTACTATAGATTTTGTATCGTCAACTTGTATGAACTGACATGCACGTGAACATTTTATGTGATTAATGCCCGTTTTCATCAAAGTAAATTAACTTTAAACCTTGGTTCAACTTACTCTTCGTCTTATTCTAGTTCTAAAGATTAGAAAAACACGAAGAGTAAGTTGAACCGAGATTAAAATTAATCTACGTTAGTGCAAATGGGCATAAGAGCGCGTGCAAATATTTATCTTTAACATTTATTTTATTCGCAGCGAAAACAAAATTATACTCGAATGGTATTAATTCAGAATCGCGGAAACACCAGTGACTACACGATTAATATTCTTTATCGCGACCTACATTTCTATTGCACAATAGAATGTCTAGCACATTTAGAGACAAGCTTTATTATTTAAGTAGAAACATCATGTCGTACCTGTAATTTCTCCTCCGCCTAAATCGTTGAGAATCTTTCTGTAAGACGGTCGTCTGGTTAGAATATTCCTTTTCTTGGGTGAATCCTCGTCTGAGAAACTATCGTCACTACCAGTTTCCACCACCTTAACAAATAGTATTCAAATTTCAATGATATATTAATAACTGCGTCACACATTTGCGCGTACTGATAACAATGCAGACATCTGGACGATCTTTAGGCTAAAGCGTTATAAAAAGTTAATACATATGACTCACTTGAAGTGTCTGTAAACTGCCTTGTGCAGTTTGTATAACGGAGTTAGGTTTGCTAACCAGAATAACGTTTCCTTTGGAGATTGCGACAGGTTGTATGTTTGTGGCGGTCTGTATTACGGACTGTTGATTGGGTTGTATGACCGATTGCACCTGTGCAAGGATTAAACAAAGTGTTAAATATTATGAAGTCAAGACAATTATCATTAAAACTAATTGTAGACACATGATCATTATTCCTTGTACATACAAAATAAGGTATTTACTGTATCAATCAATATCCGTAATAATTACTGTAATAATTACTATTATATAACTATTAGAGGAATAATGTACATGTTGTTTGTGTGAGAAAGATGGGAACTTATTATTCATTGAAATGTATACTCAAAACTTTTGCCCAATGTATACCTTTGACAATGTCACATTGTTCACAGAAAGTATTCCTAACGTCCTACACTCTAAGAATGAGTGATCTTGGGAAGGCTTTTGCATTCCCAAGACGCAACCAGCATTATGCAAGACCAGATGTTTAAATCGCACTTGCATTACAGAGAATAATGATAATAAAAGGACAAATAAACGTTATATGCATGCTCCGGAAGGAGAAGATAAATTCTCGGACATAGATACACAGGAGAGCCTCCTGTATACCTGTGTTGTTCCTGACGAGGGTAGCGTCAGTTGCACAATGCTGGTAGAAGCTATCAAGTGATGAGTTTGCTGTTGATGTGTTCTATCGATAGATTGTACCGAGGTTGCGATTGCTGGTGCTGAGTCGCTCTGGGAGCCCTGCACAGACAACGGATCGACGGTTGATCCATTTTCCTCGACCATACTTTCCATAGCCCGACTACCTCGCGAGCTCTGCAACATAAGAAACACTGTATATAACACGAACATTTATATGTTCAAGAGGGAAGAACATAATGTCATATCCCATCAAAAATACAATAATTACATTGATTCACAAGTACACATTTGAACGACACAAATGACACAACAAAACTTTTGAATTGGAGGAGCTTTCGATTAGCGGAACGCGAATCATTTAAACTTCCCGCCAACAAATGAGATGACTGCTACTGCGTCATTTACATAAGCGGAGCTAAAAATAAGACTGAGAGAGAAGGGGGAGGGGACAATAAACACGCGCTCGAGGTACTGTTTCTTTCTATCTCTCTCCCACTCGATAGGAAACGAAGAGAATTGCTACTCGGATAAAAGGCAAAGGTAACCCTCGTTCCCGCACATACCTAGGAAATACTCGCGCATAACTCGCGATGGTACCCCTCCCCCAGGTAACGGATGTCAGGATCAGGGCGAAAAGAAACAAAATCACACGACCCACCTCGTGTCGACCATCCAGAGTTTACGCGGATGCGCACGGTTTCGGTCTCTCTCTCTCCGAGCCGTTGGGTCGCCATATTTCGCGGCATCACGTTAAGCGTAGCAGACGAGCGTAAAACGCGCGTATGCGTCGCGCGGCCACGAGCTAATACGGAATGAGCGAAACGCAATGCAAGCAACGGTGGACGCGCGACCGTTTCTCCGTCTCGCACGCGCGATCGTCGCGGTGCGCGAGGAGCCGCGCGCTTGGTCCACGGCCCGATTGTTATTATTCTCCAGCTGGGGCACTTACCAGTTACGTATTTCTCGTCACCAAGTTTGCTGCAATCGGAGTGGGCAGTCGGGCAGGTACGTAGCAGCCACGTCAAAACTCCAGTGGCTTCGTCACTGGTGGAGCCCACGACCTCTGAGTTGCGCGTCACGCTCAAGATGGCAGTCGTCGTCGTGATAGCTGCTGCCGCCGCCGCTGTTGCTGCCGTTTCGTGACTTTCGTGATGCTGCTAATGCTGCTGCCAGTGCCGTTGATGTTGTCGTTGCTGCTGACGATTCCCCCTCGACCGCCGCCCTCTGACCCCTCATAATCTGATCTCGTCTATGTTCTAGGCGCGTCATGCAGTCATGCATGCGATCCAGTACGATCGCAGTATCGCCGCTTCAATCCTCAACGACGGCGATTCCCGCGATTTTTTTCTGTCGCACTCTGTTCGACTCTA